AAGTAGTTTTGATAAATGGTGGTTATGTAGTAACATGTTACGAAGCTATCGTTGGTGGTTGTCACCCACTCTATGTAGATGGCCGGCAGGAATCCTGCTGGTCGACCTGACCTGACCCGACCCGATCTACCCCAAATGCATGGAGTCATCATCTTTGTCCAAAACTAACATCGAACTCGTACCCGGAACCCCGATAACAGCTACGGCTCACAAAGTTCTAGCAGGCCAGCTTTTTTCTACTTTTGGGAGTTGACCTAAGATGACCCGGCCAAGACCTTGAAATTGGGCATCATCGGCTTTCTCTCATCACGGGCAGCATCCTCGCTTTTCCGCGAAGCTCTACCTCGATCAGGGGCCGAAAGTATACCTTCAGCGTTGCGTTGGTAAACATTTTACCTTAGCGACCCGTAAAACACGAATAAGAGCTATAGTGACACAGAAAGCGTACTCGATAGCTTTTTTAAAGCTCTTTCGCCAACTTCGCCTCAGATAGGTATGACTTCGGGTCTATGGCTTGTGTACCACAGAGGCCAAACAGTTAAAGGGACCCTCCCACCTTCAAAAAAGTTAATGAATTGGCACGAAAGTGATGTCGCTCGGTTCAGAAAGAGCAAAAATGAATATCTACCAAATTTCATCGAAAAATATTCACCGGTTTTCAAGATATTAGACTTTTACTTTTGTTTACTTTTTGGGATCTCCGCTGTTCCTAGCGACTTTATTTGAAAGTGCGGCATTTGTTGCGCGCAAAGCAGCATATACCACCGCGTGCTGCCAAACGTTTAAGTAAAAGATTTAAAAATCGTTAGATCTCCGCTGACGTCACAAATTCTAAGGGGGCATACCAATGCATTAGCCCCTTAGAATCCGAAAACTGCAAGTTTGAAATTTCATATCTCCGAATTAAAGCATTTTTCGATGTTGTGAATGCCCAAACCGGTATTTTCAGGCCATGGCCACCAATTTGGCTATCTCAACTCAAAACTAATGTTAAGGTGGGAGGGTCCCTTTAAACGGACGGATTTTGCCGAAACATTTGTTCTGTAACAACCTATATGATTCAGTGAATGTGTATGATATTCATGCTATCACCATCGTGTTTGTTTCGTCGAAGCACGTCGCATGGCTTACAATTTGAACTTAAGAACTTAACTAGAAAACTTGACATCAGGTAAAGGTTAATCAATGGTCATGTCCTGACCGGAAAAGAACCCGCTGCAAAAATGTGCGATCGATCTGTGTTGCTGAGCTGAACACACTTGACACTCCAGCACTGAACACTGAACACACACTGAACACACTCCAGGTGCTGTCATTGCTCTACAGCGTCTCCATCAAAATTTGTTGTCGAAAATGTGTTAGAGACCTTTGATGACCTAACTAATAGTAATGACTGACCATTCGAGTCACCACTGGTCATTAACTGCACCTTGTCTCTAAAATGAGCAGAGGTGCCATGGCTACAAAAGTATCTTATAGCGTTTTTAGCATATTCGTTCAAAGCAGAGGGCATCTCGTGCATTTTCCCATATCTTATCATGATTGATTGGTGTGGTGAGGTCACATATTTGACCTGACTTCACTTTTCAGATGTAAAATCCCAGATTCATTAACTGCTGGCACTTATAATCCCATTCATTACAACAAATTTCAGACTTATAGGAGATAATCTTTTTTTTATAAATTTAGCTCGAATGTTTGAATGGACGGATTGACAGAGCCGGAGCCCACGCTAAGCAGAGCTTGTTGCGTAGACCCCGATCCCTACCGTCCGATCGCGCAATTCCGGGTATCGGGAGAATTTAGATGTCAAAGTTTAACGTGCCCTTCAAAGCCGGACACGGCCTGCCCCACTCAACTGACTTCAACTGGCTGCGGCTGCTCCCACCAACCGCAGACCATCCCCGTCAGGAGTCTCAAATATCGAGCGCCGGGGCGTCTCGAACCCGGGCTCTCACTACCGGGAGTCCAATGCTCTACCAACTGAGCTACGGGACAGGCAAATCTATAGGAATGACAAGATTGCAGCTTTTAGAGGCATTAAAACTGAACTGAACATGACATTGTGACCTGACCTCAGGTGGCCTGTGCTTGATTTTTATGCACGATGCAAAAGTGATGTATGTAGTATGTACAATAAGATACACCGCTGCTTTCGTGGCGCTGCGCGCCGAGATTTTTCTCAACACATGAAAAAACCGGGAGTGTGGCTAATAACACCTCTACCCATCAAGACGAAGACCGGAAACCCGACCCCACCCCACTCAAAAATCCGTGGCGACGCCCCTGCCTCCTCCCCCTCCTGCAATTTAAGTAGCCGCTGCGAACACTAATTCGTGCAAGGGGTCATTTTCACTTCTCCTTCGGACGCCGCAGCACGCTACTTCCCGTCGCGCGGGGGGCCGAGGGACGCTACCTCCCGCCACACCGGATGACCATCGGGCCTCTCTATACGGCCTTGCATCGGGCCTGGGCGCCGCCGCGGCGGGCGATGGACGGCGCTACCTCAATTCGATCTCGAGAAAATCAATCACAAGTACACTGCCAAGTAGTGTACCAAGGTGGTCCAAATTTGTATCCGCCCCTCCTATTGGTCAACGTCACAGCCGCCACAGGGATGCATTACGTCATTCCCGTCTGCCAACGACCAATCACAGTATGGTACTTGCGTCTTCATGGTCCCTTCAAATCCTGGGGCCGAACGTAACCTGGGCCCCTGTGTAACCTTGGTCCCGGTGTAACCTGGGTACAATTGTACTCTGGTACTTATGAATGTCACCCGCTTGTTTGCTCGACCCCCACCGGACACGATTTGGTAGCCGAGGTCTGTGACGTCAGCCGGGCGTGAAGTTTTCCCTTCACCATAGGCTTTACACACAAACTGGCCGAAGTTCATGCCAGGATAGCCCAGCCTGAAAGTGCAAAAATGATTAAATTTTGCCCTCATTAAATTTACTGCTTCATTTTATAACTAAAAACGTCCGTTATAAGGCCTTAATGAAGGTACAAAGTACTCAAAATCGAAATTCAAGAAGATGCTGTCCGAGCACAATCTGGTAGCATCACGTGACTTTTTTTCAGCAGATTATAGGTAATTTCAGGATATATTCACACGATTGCTGCCTAAAACATCATAAATAATACATTTGCAACATTCATTACTTCCGTTTAAGTCATAACCTTGCAAAATGCAAAGTGTATCATAGTAGTCACGCGACCAAAGGTATAACAGGGGGTTGGGACAAACACTCGAAGTCGAAGGATTTCGAGTTTATTAATTAAATTATATAATTTTTATGGTGGAATTGAAAGACTATTTTTTCCTAATGGCATACAAATTTTCGTATGTAAAATATTTTCCTTACGGGTGAAATTCTCCATATAAGAAATATCAGTGACGTCACCAGGACTTTACTCCACCTTTACTCAAAACATCGGACCTACCTGTTTCTTATAGGTATCTTGTGTTTGCTGTTGTTGCTGCTGTTATTGGAAAAAAATTGAGAGAGGGGTTGAGTACAAGGTTGAAGTTCTGACATTATATCGTTTTTACATGTATTATTTGGTGATTGTTCTTTAAACAAGTGAATCATCAGCGCATATTTTTATATGATTCGTATCATATTCATCAACCTACAAGCCATGATGAATAGGAAAAAGCAGGGTGGACGCGGTGGACGTTCGGGGGTGGTGGTAATTAGAGGGCACGTATTTTGAGACAGCAACACAAATTGTGGCACTTTTTAATAATAGTATTTCAAATTCTTGTAGGTGGTAATTTATTACACTTTGTACTCTGTAGGCTATAGTTTTTAAACACGTATTGCTATTTTGTGGGCATTTCAGTTTGGTTGGGCAAACTAGACTTCTGTAATCAAAATATGGAGGCATCAATAATTTGATTCTGGCGGGAGGAGCCATGACCAAATATGGGCATTGAATCAATTTTTTGATTCATTTGGGTACGCTCTTGACTTCAAATGTATCGTTACAGTTGAAAAAAGGCCCATGACGGCGAGATTTTTCTTAAAATAGGTAGAAAAATGTGGTAGGTACCTATGCAAAAAGTGTTACCTCTAAACTAAGAAATTGTCACTTTGGCCTTGAGTGAATCAATTTATTGATTGCCTTTCACTACCCTTTAGAATTCAGATTATTATGATTAAAGCAATATTTTTGTGCTCAATAGAGAGTTCCAACATTTCTGTTCAACATTAGGCATGTTCCTTCTTAAAACACTGGCTATGATTGGTGATTTAGAAGTGGTCTACATTCATGCCCAAATATGGTCATTAAGAATCAATTTTTGGTATTTATATACTTTAGGTCCGCAAAAGATACGGATATATAAAAACCATTCACAAGACACTCTAAGATCTCCTGATTTCATTTCTGATACTTATTCCTTCTAGAAACGAATTTAAAAGCAACAGCACACTATTTAGTATTTACCGTCACTGCCAACCTCCAGCTCTCATCTCCGACCGGAACTGCGCAGTGCGCGCGTCAAAAGACCGTCCAAGGTTGAGCGAATTTACGAATGATACGAAGTTGTAAGGAAAATGACGTCATAAGAATGAGCGAATTTAAAGATGATACAAAATTGTAAGGAAAGTGACGTCAAAATAATCGTGGCGAAGCAGTGCAGTGCCGAAGGCACTGCCTTAGGAGAGATTACAGGCAATGGTAAGTCAAATATTTTTAGGTTAAGTGGTTGTGTATCTGGCTTCAGGCCGAAGGCCTGAAGCCTGATGCATAACCACTTAACCTAAAAATATTTGACTTACCATTGCTTGCAATCTATTCCTGCAAGTAACTTTTTCCTTATCCCCCGGTAGGCAAACATCAGTAGGTCAGGTTAGGTAAGGTTTGATTATGTTGTGACCATTTTTTGATGTTTCATTGGCTTATGACGTCATTTTCATAACGTCGAAAATCAAATGAATATCCACATAATTTATTATTCAAAAGGGCTACGTTGTACGCTTCATTTTCTTCGCAGGCGTGGTTTTCTTCGGTGTATTTATGCAGTGCGGGGTGGGTTTTTGGTATCTTTTTTTTACATTTTTGACGCATTTCAACATCATATCTGAATTCAGGACATCAAATAAGGTAAGAATGTGAATTTTTCTTGTTAAAAAAAGGTTTGTGGACGTAAAGTAAATATTTACCCAATTTTTTTGATGCCTCTATTTTTTTTTTATTCCAGAAGCCTAGTTTGCCCAACTGATTTCAGGGACGCACACTGCTGTGATTGTGAAATACGCCCAGCGGCCACCTCTCCCAAATGGTCACCAAAAGCAGTTGTTGATCCTGCTTCCTCAATTCAATCTTTCAAAACATTGGGAACTTGCAAGCTGCAACATTCTATTTCTAGAAGTATATAAAATCATAGAACACCTATGAATGTGATAAGTGCTCAGTCTCCAGTAATGCATAAATCATATATTATGATTTATGCATTCCTCTATCTTGACATATACCCATATTTTAAGTTCTTGTAGGCGGGCCCGGGCGGTGGACTGCTTTAAAAATAGGGAAACGATTGGAAACTACACTGGGCTTTACAATATCAAATCAAACCCTTTCCCAACAATATTGATACAATTATCAGGCAGTTTACTTCACAATCAATTTATATTTTTTAGCGTAATTTAACGGTTCTTCTTGTTTTGAATAATGCCTTCATAGTAGCGTTTCCATGTTTGGGTTTTTTGCTCCCAAATATGAGAACGAAAATGCGTTCCCAAAATGGGCACGCTTGACCAATGCGCCTACTGAATTGACAAAAGAAGTGGGGCGGGGGGGCCTTGTTAACAACTGGATGCCTACATTGACCAGCTGGCCAGCTGGCGACGCACAATAGCCATTGATATACAGATATAAGCACGGTGCTAGATGGACATAAACATGTAAAATGGGACTAAAAAAGAAATTAATAGATGTACGGCCCCAGAAGTGTAAATGCTTTTCATAGGCAACACCTGTTCTGATTGCAGGAGTAAACACTTCCCCCACCCCAGCAGGATGTGGGAACCCAGGACCCCCAGTGGCCAGTGGGATGCAGGTTATGCAGTTATTTTTTGCAATTTTTACACAGCAATAAGGAGATTTTTTAAGACGATGACAGCTCTCCAGCAATGTCTGATGATTTTAACCATGTCTGATTCAGATTCATTTATTAGCAAGTCCACAGCACGATGGCTTCTTATCATTGGTGACCGCCGTGCTCCACCAGCCAGCCGGACCCGGGACGGTGTGGTGGTCGGTGATGGTCTCCGCTGCCCCTGTTGGCCCTATGTGACGTCGTGTTCCTCCATCCCCCTGTCTAACCGTCCTTGACGTACCCACAGCCCACCGGACCGGCGGGCGGCCGGCCATGATGTCCGGGGAGTCGTACCAGGTGGTGGGGACGGCCAGCCTTGCCGAGCTGGAGGCCGCTCAGGTGGTGGTCTCCGCCCCGCCCGGCGCCGCCCCGCTCCACTACATCACCGACTCGACACACCCAACGGACGCTGCCGCTACTCAGTGGTTCGTCGTCGAGGAGTGCTCGCAGGTCAGCCAGCAGTGTCGCTTTGGGATTTATTAGTTTGTGTTTCTTCTGACAATGTCAAATGCTGCGCTGTCAGTTTTATCCCAATCCTGGTGTATAACTTATGTTTGTGAACTGCTAGGGTTTACAGTGACCCCAGTCTAGTACGCCCGGTGGCCGCTCCCACCCGTGTACTCCCTGTGACCGGGCGCTGCTCGCTCAGGTGCTGACGCCAGCCGAGTCGGACTCAGCCGGCCGCCTGCAGCCCCCGCTGGCCACTCCGTCGTCGGGCGGCGAGCGGTGTCTGGTGTGCCGGGCCGCCCTGGCCCCCGGCTGGCCGGTGCAGACGTGTGTCACCAAGCACGGCCGCATCGGTTACCTGACCCTGCTGCTGGACATCCTGGTGCCGGACGGCGAGGTGGCCAGGTGAGGCGAGCCGGGACCGACTTTGGTTATTGGGGTAATATGGTGAGGGGAGAGTGGTCAGTGGGGCGGTCTGGTAAGGGAGATTCAGGGAGACTGACAGAAGATATGGAGCGGTTTTGTGAGACGGTGGTTTGGCGAGGATGGCTGGGAGACTGCAGTGGACTGTCGGGGTGATATCGGCAGGTTAGGTCAGAGATATCGACACGGGTGGTCAACACGGGACGACATCCTGCTGTATCGAGTTGTTCTCTGGGACATGCTGCGACGTGATTGGCTCCTGATGTACCGGTGTGAACGCCGAGATCCCTGCAGGCTGTTCCATGTCCATTCATAGTTCTCCCTCTACTGACCCCATCACCGACCCCCCTGCTGACCTCTTGTGCCGCTGCCGCCAGCCTGGCCGCCTGCGGAGACCACGTTTGTGACGCCTGCGCCGCCCTGCTCGATGCTGTCGACGAGTACAGCCACAAGCTGCGCGGAGCCGAGCAGCGCATCAGGGACAAGTACAAACTGGGGGCACTGACGGAGGACGCGGGCCACCGCACACCGGCCGGAGCTGCAGGTGAGGCGGGAATCGCGGGGATGTAAGGCGGGAGTCAAAGGAAGGAGGTAAGGCGAGAACCACGGGGAGGAGAGGCGGGAATCACGGGGAGGGGGCTAGGCAGGAATCACTGCTACGGGAGGCGAGGGCTAAAGAAGCTGAGCTTCAAGGAAAACCGACCGTACAAACTAAGTCATAAAAGAATAACAGCTGTACCGCTTTTTTGTACCATTTTGACGAACTCATTGATCCGGATTCATGTGCTATTTTTATGGTTGTGGACTGACGAAAAACAGTGTTGGAGAATAGATAAATTAATTTGCCTGCCTCAGTTTTACTAGGTTCCATGTTTCACAAATAGAGTGTGGTGCCCTCCTCCTGCCAGCAGTGGCTGTGGAACTGGCAGATCAGAAGGCTCCGCCACCGCCGCCGGCGCCTCCAGACCAGCACCAGCGGCCGCACAATCCCCAGGAGCAGCAGCAAAAACAGCACCAGGAGCCGTCTCAAATCCAGCAGCAACTGCAGGAGCAGCCTGGACAGCCAATACAACGGCAGAGCAGCTCGGGGGACCTCCCCGCCAAGACAGACTTGCTGGAACAGGTATGGAGCAGCCGCTGCGACTCACCAAAACAGCGTGCTGTGGCCTAACGTGGTTGGTGATAATGGGTGCCTCGTCTGCGTGTATCAGTGTCGCTGTATGCAGTCTGTAACTGTTCACCCAACTAGCCGCAGCAGCTGATATTCGTGTCACTTCATGACGGCACTGTACTCTGTGTGTGACATATCTGACGGACTTTGCTGCACCTGTCCGTGCCACTGCCGCCTTTGTGTACCGTTCGTTTCCTCCCGCTCTGGCGGCGGCCCGATAACCCACTGAACTGAGCCGGCGCTGTCCGTGCCCGCAGGCGATCCGTGAGGAGCGGGTGGACGATCCGGCCGGTGCCGAGACCGGAGACGCTGATCACGTGAGTCTCCAATCGCACGAGGACCGGGGCGGGCTGTTCTAGAGCGCCGCTGGGGCGTCTGCGTGATTTCCGGTGGCTCTGCTACTCACCGAACGATTCAAAACGCTGTGTGTTGTTTCGTTGTTTAATTCATTCACGGCCATCATGTTTGTTCATAGTATTTACGGTGTTAATCTTGACATGTGCTGTCTCTCTGTACATCGTGCCGAACCCTCATGCGCCTGAGCACCGCTTAATTAAATACCTTAACTCGCATGGGTTCCTTGAGCCTTCGATTAGTTTGACGGTATATAATTCCCGGTGTCCGCCTAACCCCTCTCCCCTTCCACAGCCTGCCGACGCGGAGGACGGTGCCGGCGGTCGGCGCACTCCGCTCGGCTGCCCGCACTGCTCTCGCCGACTGCGCTCGGCCGCGCAGCTGGCGGAGCACGCGGCGCAGTGCCGGCCGGCCGGGGAGGCCGCCGCCGCGCCGGAGCGAGCCGACGAGCGGCCGACCGGCACCGGCGGCGGGGGCGGGGGCGCGGCGTTTGTCGGGCCGCGCCTCTCCTGCCACTGCGGGCAGAGTTTCGACTCGCCCGCCGAGATGGCGCAACACCAGAGCACCAGTCACACCGAGGCACGCTTCGTCTGCGAGCACTGCGGAGAGCAGTCGAAAAACCCCAAGGCGTTCGCGGAACACATGCGTCAGCACGGCGACACGCGTCCGTTCCGCTGCGACGTGTGCTCGAAGCGGTTCACCCTCCTCAGCTCGCTGCGCACCCACCAGCGACTGCACACGGGGGACAAGCCGTACCAGTGTGAGGTGTGCGGGCGCGCGTTCACGCAGCACACGTCCCTACAGAGCCACCGGCGCACGCACACCAACCAGAGACCGTACACATGCGAAGTGTGCCAGCGCGGCTTCAGGGAAATGCACTCGCTCAAGAAACACATGCTCATCCACTCGGGCGAGAAACCGTTCCAGTGTGAGCTCTGTGAGATGCGGTTCCGTCAGAAGGGTGTTCTTCAGCGCCACATGCGGACACATACAGGGGAGCGGCCCTACCGCTGTGATCAGTGTGATAGCGCCTTTATAGACTCGAATGCCCTGAAGATGCACAAGATCCAGCACACTGGCCAGAAGCCGTTCTACTGCGAGCACTGCGGGAAGGGTTTCTCAGACGCATTCTGGTTCAATAAGCACCAGATGTACCACAGCGGAGAGCGGCCCTTCAAATGTGACCTCTGTCCCAAGGCGTTCACCGACGCCCGCATCCTGCGAACGCACAAGAAGCTGCACTCGGGCGAGCGGCCGTACATCTGCTACGTGTGTGGCGCCAGGTTCAGCAACTCGTCCCACCTGACGCGCCACAACAACATCCACACGGGCACGCGGCCGTTCGAGTGCGAGGTCTGCCGCCAGACGTTCCGGGACAAGTCGACCCTGAAGCGGCACATGCGCACCCACAGCTGCCAGCGCGGCCTCAACTGTCCTGACTGCACGGGCTCGTTCCCGCGCAAGGACGCGCTGCAGGTGCACCGGCGTGTGTCGTGTACGGGCGCGGGGCCGGCCGGCGGCGGGGCGGCGCTGGCGCGCGGCCCCGACCCGCTGGCGCTGGCGGTCAGTGCCGCCGGGCCGCCCGGCTACACGGCCGACAAGGCGCCGCTGTACTCGCTGAAGGAGCTGCCGGCCAGCCAGGTGCTGCAGCTGCAGGGGCTGGAGCAGCTGCAGCCGCCGACCCAGCCGGTGCAGCCGCTGACCCAGCCGCAGCAGCAGACGGAGCAGCAGCAGCCGCACCTGATGCAGGCATACCAGTGACGCCTCGGCGGACGGCGGTACACACCCGTGCCTGCGACAAACGCGAGAATCGCCTCATTTTCATCATGAAGTTCACTAAGCACATATGCATTGAATGGGTAATCGTGCCCAAACTCATTCACCGTGAGTGTTCTGGAAAGATCATCCAGAGCAGTGAGGCCATCTTCATCATTTGAATGTTACGTAGTACGCGAATTATTTGTATGGCGTTTTGTGTGTGTGATTGTGTATTTGGCGCGAGTTTTACAAACGCGTCATTGAGTGATCTGCAGTACCGTTGCTGCATGAATTGCAGTGCCTGAATGTTAGGTAATTGTTGTTCCATTCGTGGAACTCTGTGCTTTGTGAACCCTATGGTATCAACCTATATTTTTTACCGAACGATATTTTGTATAAATACGATGTTACAGCCAAGACTTTACGGGAGTGACGTGCTTTGTGACCACCAGACGGCAGAAACGAATGATGAATGACAAGCTAGGTGTCGAGAGGCCGGTACCCCTAGCTTGATCTGTGCCACAAACAAATGGCAATGCTCGCAAATATGTAAACCCTCGGCGCCGATGACCTCTGAAGTCCGGGCGTCCTAAGATCAAATCACATCACACATCACAAACATCTAAGCGTGGAGTTAGAAGAGAAGTCGCTATATGGCTTCCCACACATCTCAATTAGTTGTTGCTCACAAGGCAATTCTATAGTCTTCTTTCAACAGTAGCGCCTGAGTGGCCGGCCTGGCTTCAAGGGCCATGATTAGCAAGACCCCGGTCCAGATCACCGGCACCAGCAAAGAATACCGGCACGTGTCCACCGCTCGACCCTGCACGCGCCCCGCGATAATCTCAAACGAAAACCCTGAGCCACAGACACCCGCCACACGACCATCCCGATCCTGGGCATTCGTGATAGATTTCCAACACCTCCTGGGATAATCATATTTATTTTATGTTCAACTTGGGTGACCATATCACGGACACATAAAAGCACACCAAGTTCATATATTGGATGCACAAAAAATAACAAAAACAAGATACAGAACTCGGGCCTAGTACACGTTTACTACACAAAACGAGATATTTACTCTTAAATCACCGCCCGCCTATTGACGGAACAATGTAACAAAGGAACATGTTTTCGAAATAATAGTAGATTTGAATGACATCACATTGTTTCATCATTCGGAGCGATGGAGGAATGCAGCTACGCCCTTTGCCCCCATTACCGTCACACAAAATGACATCAGCGTTCATATCCACAGTCCACACAAAACTTCCTAACAGCTCCATTATTCAAACAACGTTCCAACCCAAACAGCAACGTCCTACCGACAACATATCTGTGCTTGCACCATCACCCACCCACCCACGGTCACACTACAGGTTCGTTCCCCACCGGGTCGTGCGCGGTGTCCTGCCGGCTACCCTCGCTAGGCCGTCCCTCACGCCGCCGACTGGAGCTTCAGACAGCCGACATTGAAGCCGTCTCCCCTGTTCTGACCGACGCGCGCCAGCAGCGCCACCTTCTTGCGGTTGCACTTGCTGGTCTGCAGTTCGTACAGTGTGCAGAGGTTGAGCAGCACCGTCTCCTGGAGGAGCTCCGGTCGCGCGAACACGGCGTCCTCGAGCAGTGTGACGGCCGCCGCCAGCCGGCCGCGGTACAGTAGGCACACGGCCACATTAGTCAGTACGGCCGCGTTCTGCGGCTCCAGCTCCAGCGCCCGCTCAAACTGAGACTGAGCGTCGGCGAAGTCGTTTTCGCCGATGGCCAGCAGGGCGGCGTTGATGAGTTGTTGGCACTGCAGCGAGTGGCCCGACTCGCTGGCCGGCGCTGCCTCTGCCGGGGGAGCTGGTATGGTCAGATATTCTCTGTTCAGCTGGCGACTCCGAGCCATGAATGGCAAAGGGTGCCGGTGGCGGCATTGCAACGGGCAACCACAAATTGTTCTGAACTGACTGCACTCGCTGACAACCAATGACAAAGACCGATACAAAACATGCACATTTATCTGTAATCGTTCCCAGTTTTGGATATACGTTTACGTTTATCAGCGAACGTTGGTACGTTTTCAATGATCAGATACGCATGATTTCTTAACTAGCAGCAGAACCAGGTTATGCATTGGATATCCCTCCCAGCGAGACGATACCCACCTGTGACTGATGCGAACGCTGCGCGGGCGGCGGCCACGTTACCCAGCTGGAGGTAGACGCGACCGACGGCTGACCTCAGGCCGGCCGACAGCCGCGGCAGCTCAGAGCTCAGCTGAGACAGACACTCGATCGCCTGGTCGTAGTCCTGTGCAACGGAGCAGCGGCGGGGGCGTTAGGTGCCGTCACACCGGTGAATAGGTAGTCGGCCAGCTACACAGAGACGTGGTTGGCACCAGCGGCGACACCGGCTTCGTGTGAATACTTCATTAACGTAGATACAAACATACATTGTAGGTACTAAGAATCGTCCGTCAATCGGCCGTGAGTAATGCACATTTACCGTGATCATACATATTATGAGGTAAGTGTTGAGGTCAGTGCTAAGTGGATTTTGGTACAATACAGGCCAGCAGCTTTCTCAAATCACACATAACATTACCCGCTCAGTTTTCTCTCCACGTTTACTTCCAGCCACAGCCCATAGATCTGTGCACCTCTCCTTCACGCTATTCTGTCAGAACTTACCTTCATTCCGACGCAGCAGTTGACCACGGAGAAGAGCACCTTGAGTCGGCGCGAGTTCCACAGCGTCAGCGACTGCTGCCGGGCCGCCTCGGAGAGGTCGGACGGAGAGCCGTCCTCGGAGCGGCCGGCCACCAGGTTAGACGTTATCTGACGGACGGACGTAATTACTATGTATGGACGTAGGGACAGACAGACAGACATACAGTCCTCGGAGCGGCCCACCATCAGGTTAGACGTTATCTGACGGACGGACAGACAGACACACATACAGTCCTCGGAGCGGCCCGCCACCAGGTTAGACGTTATCTGACGGGACATGGAACAGGTGGGGCCGTCACCTTCTGTGAATGACCGAAGATGGAGATATCACAATTCACACCCTACCAGACAGCTATAAGGGGTATTACCTGACAAACTTACAGGAACAGCAGTTGTGTAACAGGCATAATAACAAGACAGGACTAGGAGGGATCGTTATCTTGCGGATATTAAGGGGGATGCATTTTCTGACAGAGGGAAAGATAGGTGAGTCCGTTTAAATGACACACAGATCCCGTCATGCGATCCTGACAGACGTTGTTACAAATACTGCTGCTAACAGCGTCAGTTATACCATTTTTGGTGCCTGGCTATGGGACAGCAAGCTGATACTAGCCCGCATCCGGACTGCATCCGTACAGTGTACGTACAGGTCTCGCGAGATTAAGCGGTAGGTTTTGCACTTTAACATTTCCGGTTATATCTCAGAAACTAATCGATCTACGATGAAGCCATTTTACACGATCATGGCCGGCTTGTTACCCAACAAGTCGATCGCATTTTCAACACTTTAAAGCTTAAGACCACGAAGATATAGCCTGAAGTACACTAAATTTTCTAGGTGCAAAACCTACCGCTAAAACCCGCGAGACCTGTACATACTGTACCTGCTGACACACGGTGTGTATCTGGTACAGCCGGTCCAAGCTGGTATGGTACCACTATAACTGTACACTGTACTCGTGCCGTACCTGCTGACACACTGAGTGGATCTGGTACAGCCGGTCCAAGCTGGTATGGTACCACTATAACTGTACACTGTACTCGTACCGTACCTGTTGACACACGGAGTGTATCTGGTACAGCCGGTCCAGGCTGGTCTGGTAATGAGCCATGTAGCGCGGCAGCTCCGCCAGCAGTACTCGGAAGGAGAAGGGGACCATCGAGCCGCGCCGGCCGCCGTACAGGTCCGGGTAGTACTGCAACGGGACCAACAGGGGGTCAGACATTGAGCCAGGAGAAGGCTAGTACTGCAACGGGTCGGGCAGGGGGTCAGACATTGAGCCAGGAGAAGGCTAGTACTGCAACGGGTCGGGCAGGGGGTCAGTCCTGGGCACTGGGACAGTGGATACCGGAGGGCTGTTCACGGGCGCTGTGTACGGTCGGACCGCACACAGCCTCCAAGCTCCGCCCACTGCGTCCCTACGTCAGCCTTCCGTCACTGCACACAGCGACCGCTGTGGCCGGTCGGGACTGGCCACAGCGGACCGTCCACCGCACGCAGCCGTGACGTCAGAGCCGCCTACCCATCCCCTACCCCCACGCCTGCTGGACGCACCGCACACACCGCACGCAGCAGTGTGCGGTGCCCGTGAACACCCCTCGGGTCAGCCGGGACCAGTCAGTGGGTACAGGTTCCAACAAGAGGAGCAACGGGTCAGCCATTACCGGGACAGAGGGCTCCGGTAAAATTCTAGCGTTATCTTTCAAATTCACAGCGCCGCGTTTGACCCAACAGGGACTCTGAGTGTCCCGCAACCCAGACTGGCTGACTCAGAGTCAACACTATCGACACTCAGACCAGACTCAGAGTCAACGCTATCGACACTCAGACCAGACTCTGAGCAGACTGGACGATCCGGGTCGCGTAGGGTCGGGTCGGCGGACGGCCACTGACCTGGAAGAAGAGGTCAGCCGTGTCCAGATCTCCCCAGGCCTGCGCCTCTCGCTCCGCCACGGCGAACTGACGGAGACGCACCAGCAGCGCCAGTCGCGTGAACCACAGCTGAAACACAGACAACAGCGTGAACCACAGCCGAAAGACAGAGGTACTGACGCGTGAACCACAGCTGAAACACAGAGAAACGACAGCGTGAACCACAGCTGAAACACAGCGCCAGTCGCGTGAACCACAGCTGAAACAGAGAGACAACCACGTGAGCCACAGCAGAAACAGAGAGACAACAGCGTGAGCCATAGATCAAACACTAAGACGCTTGAACCACAGCTGAAACACAGAGACACAGTCAATCATAAGACATTGCGCAAACACGAAGGTACAGCCGCGTGAACTACAGCTGAAACAGAGAGAAAGCAGCGTGAACCATAGCTGAAACACAAATGCATGGACGCGTGAACCACAGCTGAAAGGTAGACAAGACACGGGTGAGTCACAATTGAAACATTGAGACGCCTGAACCGTAGCTGAAACACAACACACTTTAGCAGCTGGACGACAATACTCTACAACTCAGAATTATAGACTGCGGTACAAACAAATACAACACGGGTAAGAAGCAGCCAAAACACGGACACGGTTCTGGTGAGGCCTAAAACACAGACACGGTACGGGTGATCACAGGCGAACCACAACTGAGATTGAGCAGCTGGAATACAACCAGCTAAAACACAATGAAACTAGCGGAAATAGACACGGCACGAAAGAATATGTAGAAACAGTGAAATCGAAATGAAT